GTCGCCTCCTGGGGGACTCCGTAGTCGTGGCTGCGGAGAAAGCAGTACCAGTTCGGTGCCAGCCTGGCCCCTTGTCAGCTCACACTCCTTCCTCCCTACCTCGCCGCCCCTCCCCCAGGAGCAAGTCCCCCTCCCTGTGAGTGTGCCACACACAGGAATGCCAGTTGCCTTTTGCTCCTACCCTACCATGTGGTCTGTTGGCCTCATGCCTGCCCCTGCAAAACAGGGCCCAAGACCTCCCTCTCCCCACAGAGTAAAGAACTTGGTCTCCTGCTGCCTCCTGGGTCCCTCCCTGCCTCCTGGCTCCTGGCTCCCTCACTTAGGTGGGGAAGCAAGAGTCTGGATGCTCCACCAGAGAGCTGGGGTCCGGCAGGGGCAGCAGGAGCTGAAGATGCTGCCAGAAAGACAACCCCTCCTGCTGAGCCTGCCTGGCCCTGCCCAGACCCACGAGGAGAAGAGCTTGGTCCCGTCCAGCAGAGAGCAGTTGTAGTGGTATCGGACAAAGTCCCCCAGTTTGGAGGTCTCGTTGCAGGCCTCGGGGGCCGGAGACAGGGTCTGGATTTCCACTGGATCTGCAGGGTTGTGGAAGTCGATGACATGGACGTCGAAGATCAGCACAGCAGAGCCGGGGATCTTGTCTCCTGGACAAGAACGAGGGACGGGTCAGCTTGGGCCTCTAGGAAGCACTGCCCAGGCTGGGAGTGCTCCCCCACCCCAAGTGGGATGTCTGTCCGGGGTCCCTTCTAATCTATTTGGGGGGCAGGGGGCATTCCCATTTAGAGTCCTTCTACACTCTTCTTGCCAACCTCCCCGGAACTGCAGATCAAGTCGGTAAGTCCCACGTCACAGGCCAGGAAAGGAGGCACCAAGCCCAGCCGGCTCCCAGGTCCCGGTCCCACTGCTGCCTGTGCTGCGCGGCCACATCTGCTCATCCGTCCAGAACCACCCCCGACCTGACCCAGGCATCAGCCGCCCTCCCCGGAATCAGAACAAAACCCTGTTCTCAGTTGATTTTGACTCAGCGACCCAGTTGGACCGGGAAGCACTGCTCCCTCGGGTGTCCGAGCCTCGTCCTCATGGGAACAGTTGGGTAAATGTCTCCTGCGGAGAAGCTGGCGGGTTTAAACCGCTGTCTTGGCCGTGAGCAGCCCCCTGTAGAAGGGGGAGGACTAGGGGCACAGGAAGGGCCTGATGGAGAATGTATCTACTCTCGGGAGGGAGGGGCAGTGCAGCCGGGATCCCACTGGTGGGGGGCCGGGCCAGTGAGCGGTACCGTGGCCCTGGCAGTGGCGGAGCCCATGGGAGCACCCTACCGGTGCCGTTCTCCCCGTAGGCGAGATGCGGGGGTATGGTGATCCTGCGGCGCTCCCCCATGCAGGACCCCTGCAGCCCCTGGTCCATCCCGGAGATGATGTAGCCCTTCCCCACATAAGTATTGTAGGTGTGGTTGCGGGAGTAGCTGCAAGACACGGGGGCGAGGGTCCAGGAGGGGTCAGAGGGGGCCCTCAGAAGGGCTGCCTGGGGGGACCCCAACCCCCCAAACCTAATCAGGGACCATGGGGTCAAGTCCAACTCCCGGCAACCCCAGGTGTGCACAGGAGAGCTGGGCTCCAGAGGGCTCTCCAAAGCCATGGCCCACTGGCTAGGAATCACCAGGCCTTTCTTCTCAGGCACCTTGGGGTGGGTTCCAAACAGCCAACCCCTTCAGTTAGTAGTCAAGAGGTTGGCTGTTGGTGCCAGCTCCTGGCAGTGCCCTCCCTCCTGGCCTTGGCTTCTGCCCCCCCCTCCTGCTCCTCCTCAGGCCCCTCCTGACCTGGAATCAAAGAGGGTGCCGTCCATCAGTGAGCCATTGTAGTGATAGCGCATGAAGTCCCCGGCCTCGGCTCTCCGGACACAGCCAGGGGGCTGCTCCAGCGTCTCCAGCTGGACCGTGTCCTTGGGGTTGTGGAGATCCACCAGCAGGACGTGGAAGACCAGCGAGGCCTGTGGTGGGATCACCGTTCCTAGGGAAGGGACGGGGCTTACGCTGTGCCACCAGGGAGCAAGGCAAAGCGGGCTCCTTCCCTACTCAGGGAGGCTCCTGCAGGCCCCCGGCCCCTGCTCTCTGGAGCCCTTTCCTTCCCAGGCCTCAGCGGCCCCGCTTCTTACTCAGGCGAGGCCTGAGATGAGGATGCGGGGCTTTCCCTGGAGCTGCTGCCAGCCCACAGGGAGCCCTTGTGAATCACCGGGGGCTAGATTTCACTCCCACCTGCCTCTAGTCTGGGTGTCCTTGTGCAGTGCACAACCTGGACTACGGGATGCGGCAGCCCCGCGGTTCCCTCCTCCGGCCCTGCCCGCCCTCACCGTAGCCTTTCTCGCCATAGGCCAGGAATGGGGGAATGATGATCTTCCTTCTCTCTCCAGGACACATGCTCAGCAGCCCCTGGTCCATGCCCTTGATCAGCCAGCCGGAGCCCACGTAGGTGTCGTAGGTGCCGCCCCTGCTGTAGCTGTGGAGGAGGAGGTGAGGGTGCTGCTGCTGGGGCCGGGACGGGCAGGACGGGCACCCAGGCTCGGGACACTCACCCCCGGCCCCCAGCCCTCACCTGGAGTCGAAGGCGGTGCCATCCAGCAGGGTGCCATTGTAGTGGTAGCGGACAAAGTCGCTGTCCTGGACCATGCGGGGACAGTGGGGCGGACGTAGCAAGGTGCTCACCTGCACCGTGTCTGCCTTGTTCCACACATCCAGCAGGACCACGTCGAAATAGAGGGTGGCGTCCGGGGGGATTAGGCCCGCTGTGGGGACAGGTGGGGTCGCACAGCTGGTCGCAGAGCCCTGCTTTGCCTCCCCGCCCACCACCCAACAACGCCCCCAAACCCAACCTGCTGCCTGCGAGTCAGTTCAGACCCACGACAAACCCACGGGTCATAGAGAACGACTCCATGGGGTTTTCTTAGGTGTCATCGTGGGGTAAGCGGACCGCCAGGCCTTTCTCCCGCCGCGCCGTGGGACGTATGTGTTGAACCGCCAACGGTTAAGTTAGCAATCAATCACAAACCACTTGTGCCACCCCTCAGGAAAAACAAAAGCCACACGCCATTATCAAGTCGATTCCGACCCATAGCTTCCCCTGCCAGGCTGAGTAGAATAAGCAGGGCTTCTGGGGCCTCACCTTGCTCCGGGGGCTCAGAAGGCCGAGCGTGTGGGTAACAGTCTAGTACATCACCCACTATGCTATCAACACTCCAGAGCCCCCCAAAACGAGCAAAGGGCCTCACCGCCTTCTGGTGCATTCTGACTCCTGGCGACCCTACAGGACAGGGCAGAACTGCCCCCGCGGGGTTCCACAACTGACTCTTTATGGGAGTACAGTGAACCCTTGTTTATTGCGGTTAATCGGTTCTAGACCCTACCGTGATAAATGAAATTCCGCGAAGTAGGATTCCTTATATCCAGAAGTTTTACCTTTTCCTGGATGGTGAGCATCTTCCTCTGGCGCTTATTTTTATTGTCAGAAGGCTTAGAAGAAGCAGCTCGTTTAGGAGCCATCATAGGGCTTAGATAAAATTTCTTAAAAATCGCAAACAATTACAGTACACTGTACAAAAGCAAAAATGCATCTGATACGTAGCTCCGATACGTAGCGATGCAGACAGAAGCGTGTACAGTATGAGCCAATCAGTGGCAGTAATGACAGAGCATGCGCTGTTACGCAAAAACCGCGATAGAGTGAAGCCGCGGAAGTTGAAGCGCAAAGTGGCGAGGGTTCACTGCACAGCGCCTCATCTTTCTCCCACAGAGCAGCTGGTGGGTTTGAACTGCTGACCTTGCCATTAACAGCTCAGTGCATAACCACTACACAACATCACCAGGCCCTCTCCTCCCCTCCCCTCCCCCCTCCCCCGGACATCCAGTCCATTCTGCCTCCGTAAGGGCAGAGCAGAGCGGCCTGGGGGTCAGAGGCTGTCAGTCCTTCCTCGAGCAGACCTCCTCCTCTTTCTCCCACGGGGCAGCCGGTGGTTTTGAACTGCCAACCAGAGCAGGAGACTTAGACTCTTGCCCCATTTCCTTGCTGACTGGTCTCCTCCACCCACGCCCCGAGAGCCCCCAGCCCTGCTCACCCACGCCGATGCTGCCATAGCCCAGGTGGGGGGGCACGACGAGCCGCCTCCGCTCGTTGACACACATGCCCATGAGGCCTCGGTCCATGCCGGTGATGAGGCGCCCCACGCCCACCACAATGGCCACCAGGGTGCTTCTGTCATAGCTGATGGGAAGGGAGAGATGGGCTACAGTCACTACACCCCCTCACCCTCCTCCTCCCAGGTGTGCTTCCTCTCTGCATTTCCCTCCTAGGACCACCCCTCACCGCCTAAGAGGATCAGCTGCTAGAAAAATGAATCCCCTGAGGCAGGGCCTGCCTGCCGTACTCTGCTCAGCAGAGCAGGGGGAGCTCTGCAGGGGGAGTGGAACATTTTAGTGAGCACGTGCTCGCCGCCTTGGGCCCTCTTCATCCTATCTAGTCCTCCCTGTATGCTGCGGGCAGCGTGCAAGGAACCCTGAGGACTCAGAGGCAGGTGACTTGGCCGGGCTGCACTGTGGTCCTGGCTTGTGGTCTGCTGAACACCAGAGTGCAGTGTTTCCAGGCACCGGTTGGTGCTCCAGGAAAGGAAGAAGCAGGGAGGGCTAGAAGCAAGGGTGGGGACTGCTTTTAAAAAATGTAAAGGCCCCTTCTGAAATTGCCTTAGTTACCTTTTTAGTTGTTCTGAATTTTCTGACGTTGAGGCAGGGTAAGAAGTGTTTATTTTTATCAAAGGGAATCATGGGTCACACACGATTTTCCAAACGTCACACTGCACAAACCTAGGCCCAGCTAGGCACCCAGAGTTCCACCAAGATCATCCCCCAGTTCCTCCCCCATCTGATTCCAGAGGTCAGGGGCTCTGGCTGTGTGTACTTGTGGCTCTCACTGCCATCAAGCCGATTCCAACTCACAGTGACCCTATAGGACAGGGCAGAACTGCCCCCGTGGGTTTCTGAGACTGTAACTCTTTATACTATGTTATATAAAGTTTATAAGAAAGACTATAGAAAGCCTCATCTTTCTCCCATGGAGCGGGTGGTGGCTTCGAACTGCTGACCTTTCAGTTAGTAGTCCAATTCCTAGCCACAACACCATCAGGGTTCCTCTGTACCCATGGCTCCTGCCTACCAAAAGACCAATGCTACTGAGCCCATTCCAACTCCTAGAGAGGCTCACTGAGTCAGTTCTGACCCATAGCGCCCCTATAGGACAGAGGAGAACTTCCTCTATGGGTTTCCAAGATAGCAACTGTACAGGAGCAGAAAACTTCATCTGTCTTCCTTGGAGCTGCTGATGGGTTTGAACTGCTGACTTTGCTGTGAGCAGCTGAATGCATAACTGTAACGCCACCAGGGAAGGCCTCCACGCCTGTAACCTTGGCTGAGGCCGCCTTTGCTGCCCCACTCTCCTGCAGAGCAGCTGGTGCTGTTCTTGGCTCCTGCCTAGACCTCACTTCGCTGCTGAGCTGGCTGCCGTCTGGAGCACTAACCAGGGTTTTAAGAGTTAGCAATTGTCAGGGCATAAAGCTCTACCCAGAGTCAACCGTTGCCTGGTGCTGCGTAAAGTTCCCGCTCATTCATTGGCTTGCGTTATTAATACTCAAACTTTTCCATATGTACGTACAGGAAAGTGCACCTGCACAGTTCAGTGAGTGTTCCCAAACCGGGACACAGTCATTGCACCCAGCATTGCAACCCAGCATCCCAGAAGCCTCCTCCCCGGCCACCTCCTCCTCCCGGGCGGGGTAAGCTCCACCCTGACCGCCCACGGCTGTGGCTGTAGCTTCCTTTCGCCTAGTGTCAGATGGACCTACGGTATTGCTCGCAGGACTCCAGTTCCTGTCACTCAAGGTTAGGATCGTGGGATTCATTTAAGCTGTCGCCTGTAACAGTAAGCGGTCGATCCTCCTTGCTGTGGAGAACCGACCACAGTCCACTTGTGGATGGGGTTTGGGATGTGTTCTATCTGGAAGATGACATTCATCGACTTCATCTTTCAGATAAGGAAAGTGAAGCTTAAGGGGGCAGAATACTTGTCCATACAGTGAGGGTCTGAACCCAGGGCCCTGGCCTTTGTGCTCTCATTCCTAATAGCCTGCTGGCCTCTGAAGTCAAGTCCACCAGCCAAGTTCCTATGAGCTAAGCTCTGGTTTGGGGAAGGGTCTAAGAGGTGTCGACTGCATTGTGTGTCCTATGGGGTTGATGTGTGTGAGGGAAGCCAGGGTGTACCCCTGAGGCTGGCGCACAGTTCTGTCTAGCCCACACCAACCACGTGGACTTGCCGGAGGGGACCGGAAGCCTGAGTGGCCCAGAGGTCAGTCCATCAAACCCAAGGTTAGCAAGATGGGCGGCACTGAACTGGCCAAGCTAAAATGGAGGGCGGGGACCTGGGCAGGCTGCCTGCAGAACCAGAAGGAGGCAATGAAACCCTCCAAAGACCCCAGGGTGGCATGTCCAATCATGTGACACGTGGACAGATGGCCCCTCCCCCCAGCTCTGCCCCACCTTCCAGATCCATCTTACCATCATATTATAAGGCCCTCCCTTTGCAGGCTCAGACTGCAGAAAACCTCCACCCCCCCAAAATCCTCCCTTTCCCAAGTCACAAAGGTGTGGAAAACTGGGCCAGAACCAGGAAAGGAGCAGGAAGAGTGGGGAGCTAGGAGAGAGGGTCCCAAGATGAGACCACCTGAGGGTGCTCATGCAATAGGCACCAACGTCTTCTCCACAACACTGCAGGCCAGAGCCCCCACCCCAGCCATGCCTTTAAACAAAGCCACTTCATAGAAGATTATCAAGTATTCTGGGATGCGGGGTGGGGGTGGGGGGGTGGGAGGTTGTGTGAAAAAAGTGGGGTCCTTTGAGAGGTGAAGGTTTGTCATTGGGGTCAGGGTTTGTCTTTGGGGAGATAGGGAGCCCCCCCAGCCCCCACCCCAGGGTGCTGTGTTTGGTGTTAGGGGGTCAAGGCTTGAGTGCAAAGCACTTTAGTGTGAGCATGCAGAGCTGAAAGAGGCAGGGGGCTGGCGCTGGGGCCCAAGAGAGCGTGGCCAGGGGCTCAGGGGAGGGAAGGAGGGAGTCTGCGAGGCCCAGCCATTACCTGGAATCGAATTTCTTGCCATCCTCGAAAGTGCCATTGTAGTGGTACCGCACGAAGTCCCCCATCTGCACCTCCCGGGGACAGGCCCTGGGGATGTGGTACCTCTCGATGACTACATCTTCCAGGGGACCCCCAGCAGGGCTGGCGCGGCCCAGCCCCCTCCCCACATTGTGCAGCAGCAGCAGCAGTAAGTGCAGCAGGGGGAGCCGGCGGGGCGTGTGGCTGCGGGGGCCCTCCGGGAACATGGTGCCTGGAACTGGGACCGCTGACAGTAGGGACGGGGGAGCCAGGGAGCCGCTGCCGCAGCCAGCCTCCTTCCCCTCTCCTTCCAGAGCTAGCTCCCCCCCTTCCTGCCTGCCCTCCCTCCCACCCCACCCCACCCTAGCCGGTCCACGTGGAATGGGGGCTGGGAACACTGAGCTGGCGGTGGGGAAGGAGGGGTGGCCAGAGGGGGCAAGGCCGAGAGTCGGAGAAGTGCCCCACAAAGGATTCTGGTCTCCTTCCTCCACCCCCACCCGCGGCGCAGAGACCAGAGGCCGGCGCAGGAGGGAGGTTCGGTTAAGATGAGAAGTCGGAGCTAACTCCTGAAAAAGTTAAGAAGCAAACCAAATTTAAAAAAACCAACACACAACTTTCAGTGTCTCTTCGCGGAACTCCCCGGGTCCTAGAGCCGGACTGAAGTAACCCTTGCTTCGTTTGCTGACACCCCCAAATCTAGACCACTCCAGGTGGTCGGAATCAAAGCGACTGAGCCCAGGAGGATGTGTGTGGGGGTGTGTGTGTGGGGGGATCTCTGTGCTTCCCCCGCCCGCCCTGGTTTCCTCCAGGCCAGGCTTCTAGGGTTGGGGACACAGTGATAATGGGGGAGGGGGGTTACCAAGGGAGAGCTGCTCCCTGACCAGGGCCTTGGGCACACTGAGGGGTGATCTTAGGAGGGAGGGCTGCAGGTGGGGAGCGCGCTGTGGGCGGTGTCCGGGTTTCTGGACCGCAGCTTGGGGTAGCTGCGCAGGAGGCCGTGGTAGCGCTCTGGGAGGGGCTTTCGGGGCTCACCGTCCCGGGCGTGAAACGTTCTCCCCAGCCACGCACCCACTGGCCCTCTCTCCTGGGGCGCAAGACGCCCAGACTCAGGAGAGGAACGGGCCATCGTAGGGATCCCAGGACACCAGTGGGCCCTCTGGAGAAAAAGGGACAGGCCTCTCTGCGCCCTTCAGGGGACGTGACCCAGGCGACGTCGCGCCCCCCCACCGCGCCCCCC